GTTGGTCGAGATTATCACTAGTAATAATGATATCGTCTAAATAGATAAATGTGGACTTTCCAAGAACAGGTCTTAACACAATGTCCATGCATCGCTGAAATGTTGCCGGGGCCCCTGAAAGGCCAAACGGCATACGCAAAAATGCATAAGTGCCAGACTTGGTTATAAAAGCAGTCTTAGGCACGTCCTCAGGCCTCACCCCTATTTGAAAATAACCAGTCTTTAAGTCTAAAGTCGTCATAAATTTGGTTGATTTTATGTTCCTTAAAATTTCTTCTATGATCGGTAACGGATATACCGGATATTTCGTTATGGAATTTAATTTACGGTAATCAATAGCGAATCTCCACCTTTTTGGATGCTCCAAAGGATAATAATTAGTTTTTCTTACATAAAACCACCGGGCTAGCATAACTACTTGAGATGGGCGTTATGATCTTTTTACGTAGCATATCGGTAATATGCCATTCTATAATTTTTTCCTTATTCTTATCATACCGGTATGGTTTTTGACGAACTGGCAATGCATCTCCGGTGTCAATACTATGGTTAGTAACCTGAGTAAAGCCTGGAATATCACTAAATAACGAAGGAAATTCACTTACCACTTGTCGGATTCTTCCTTGCTCGTCATTAGAGAGGTGGTCAAGTTTTAACATCGGCGGTTCAGCGTTTTCTGTATGAACTGGTTTCATTGTCAGCTTAAGGGACGCTTCATTAAAATCCAGCGTAGCGTGTGCTTCTGAAAGAAAATCTATTCCTAAAATTATATGTGCTTCCAGATTCTTTACTATAAAAAACATCACCTTTACTTGTTCGTCCTTGATACGGATATACAACGGTACTTTACCTATGCACTTACATTTTTCTCCTTGCGCCGCTAACACTGTCGTATTATCCGAATTATATATGCGGTATTTGCGAAAATACTTTCTAAAAAACTCCTCTGCCACACAGGAACACTGCGCGCCTGTATCCAGGAGTGCGGTGGCCGGGATATTATTCACCAAGACTTCAATCTTCGGAAGAGTCAAATTTTTCACCATTACTGTATTTAACTTGTAGGAAGAGGGGTTTTCGTGGCCTTCGGATTTCCGCACCCTCTCGTCAGCAGAAATCCATTTTAGTTTAAATTATTTTTCCTTTCCGTGCTTTCCTTCTTTTTCCCCTGGCCTTGAGACTTTTTTCCTGGGTTGCTATTGAACTGTCGATGTTCGCCGGCTGTTTTTGAATGCAAATTGGTTTCGCTGTTGATATTGGCGTCTTCTTTCGACGTCCGCCGTTCTTCTACTTTCAAACTGGATTGCTAGCTCAAATAACTTTTCCAGTGTAGTCGGATTTCTTAATTCGATAAAGTCTTGCACTTGGGGCAGTAACCTCGGCAAAATCACTTGAATTATTTCAGGATCCGGACGGTTTCCATACAAGAGCTTGAAAACGTGAATTTTTCTTAAAATAAAGCTCGAGAGGTTTTTGATTCTTTGTTGATATATACTAAAAAGTTTCGTTTCTAATTTCGCACGATCCCTTACAACAGGGAAGGCTTTTAGTAGGGCAGTCTTGAAATTTTCGTAAGTATAGGTGGGACTTCCTGCTTGACCCAAGAGACTTCTGCCGATACATTTCAACCAGTTAAGCGCTTGGCCCCTCAAAGCGCTGGTAGCTAAGGTAACTTTTTGAAACTCATGCACGGGGTAGAGCATGAAGTGGTCATCCAATTTTCCCAAAAAACTGGTTACCGGTGAGTTTCCATTAAACGTTGCTTCTGGTTTCATCGAAGCGCGCATGGTCTGGACGATGTAACCGAATCCTTCCAGGGCGGCAGCTGGCATTTCTGGATTCTGAGCCGTTTCTGCAGGCAGCACAGGTTCTTCTTGAAACTCGGCCATGGTTATTCTTCTTCGTTGGGCGCCACTATCAGGTTCAATGTTCCTTCTAACCTTCTTCGGGAACATATAAGGACCTGACTCGGAACAGAGAGCTTACTAAAGCTATGTTCACTAATTGTGGTAAGTAGACAGGATACAGACGAAGGGTATACAAAACCCTTTATTTTTCTCTATATACAATAACTTCCGTACTTCGGAATACACTGACCCTCCACTCGGGGTCTAATGTAAAAAAGTATAAAAATAGAACTAAACTCTAATTTAACTTTAGAATAATACACGTGGAAGATTGGCCTTATAATAACAGGAAGCGTATGTAGCACAGAGACTGTGAACACTACAATACGTTTAATTTATCAAGAGGATTAAAACCTCTGGCCTGGAAGGCGAACAGCAACTGCGTAACTTCTAAGGTAAGCGGCCTGCTTCGAACTCACTGCTTCCTCTCTCTCTCGCTTGGCAAAAGGCCACACTTAAATACTTGGCGTTCGCCAGACAAACTTTGCATAAAAACCTTCACGCTTATAATTCTGGCCGGATGTAGAAAATAAGAAGTGATAGTAAAGATTTAAAATAAAATAAACGTTAGTAAAACTTAAGATCCTTACAATGTGGCGATACCAGTATACAGATACTAGTTCAGATAATTTTAAGAAGTTTTTGGATTCTGTTAAGGAATTTTGTTTGACTGAAGACAGGAAAATTTCTAAATAAGGTAAGTGGATAGAGTCAAAAGTCTTTTATCCGAACTCGTCGGGACTTCGGCGATTCCGGATTATCAGTTTTTCCGGATTATAGATCATCAATTTTAATCTGGTACGATGGCATGCAGAAATTATAAAATTAAAAATATGAAACCGTAATTTATGAAATAAAGAACAATTATGATCTAAAGTGTATCAAAATTTACAAAAAAAAAAAAAAAAAAAAAAAAAAAAGCTTGATATTTATTTGTTTACTTTATTAAACATTTCTTTCAATGCGCGCATGCGTAAAGTACATCCAGATGAAATACTACATTTAGTAAGGAATTATAAGCTGAACAAAATAAAAACATCTGCCCTGAAGATAAGGATAGTGCTGACAGATCAACTTCTAGATCATTGCTTGCCGTGACACCCCCCCTCACAAAGCAGCGTAAAATTGATAAACAGATTTCGGAATGTTAGAGAAACAAAGGATATGCCTTTATCCATTTTTTGCAGCAATTCCACTTTTTGTTTAATGGACACTGAAACATGCTTTCGCTTTGTAGATCCTTTGGCAGCTCCAGAATCGTAAATTCTTTCTGACATAATCGAAAGTTCAAGCTTACTTTTATAAAATTGCTCTAACACTCTGCAAAAAATAATAAGCCGGATCCAATTAGAAGATTAAGGAACAATGCAATCTGCAACATTAACTGAAATAGATAAGTAGATAATTTTAGTTTAGCTTATACCGTCTGTTATACATTTAACGTGCATGCATATAGGCATGTGTACATGCGTAAAGGTATTATATGTTTATGCATGCGCAGAACGTTTGTAGCTTTGAGGTCCGGATTATAGATCATTCCGGATTATGGACATCCGGATTAAAGGCTTTTGACTGTATTTCTTTTGCGTAGTGTTAAGATGAATTTCATTTTTTATGTTATTTGATTGTTTGATTTAAAATGTAGTTTATTGAGATTATATACATGTGCCCAGTTTGTGCAATTCTCCAATGTCTTTTTAAGTGAAAATAGGTCGACGTGTAGATGGATACCGAGTTTGGGCAATTCTTAGACTTGTTATTTTGGCTTTGTGTAGTCCGGATTTTTGGCACAAACTAGGTATCCATGTACCGCCAAAAATCACCAAGGGGCACTCGTAAATATATTTCTACCAAGAGTTCGATAAAGAAAAGAAAGAGGAAGAAAAGTTAAAACAAGATACATGGCTGAAGTATTTTAGAAAACAATATATGCATATATCAACATCAGTAGATGAAGAAAAAAGAATCCAAATCAGGAAACAATAGAAAAGAGAAAGTAGAAAAAGAAGAAAAATAAATATATTTAAAAAAAAAAAGCATTAAGCGAAAGGAAATAACAGGAAAATCAACATCTATCAATTAAAAAAAAAGGAAGTGAAGGAAATTATAGATCAACATACAAAAAAATATTCAGTATGAAAATGGAAAGAAAGAAAAAAGAACAAACAACAACATTTGAAAAATCTCCAAAATTGTGATATATCCATGCAGCCAACTCATTTTATTTCCATAACTAAGCAAATTACAGTCAAATTGATGTTTAATAAATGCATAAAAAATAACTGTCAGAGAAGCTAGAAAGTAAATTACAGCAATGTTAAAAAAGTGTACTTTATCGTACAAAACAAAAAAGGTGAAAAAACTGAAATAGAATAGTTGCAATTAATTTCCTGCTATACATGAAAGTTCTTTATATTAAGATATTTACTAAAGGCTACAGCGATTGCAAAATATAGAAGAGTTGAATAATACAAATGCTGAAAACAGCATAAGAACATCATAACAACATGAGACACAGATTGACTTCACAGAGATCTTGTCATAAGAATCAGTATCTCTGCTGCAGAAGAATGTGACATGCTAAGCATCTTTCAAAGTATAAGCCAATCATTTCACTTTTCTGGCGATGCATGTACCGTAGGTGGTATTTATTTATTTGAACAATTCTCATAAATATCAAACATTATTTCAAGTAAATATCCATGATTAAAACAAATTAATTCCTCCATGTTCTATGACTTATTGCATTTTCACACTCACATTTCATCACAAAATGTACCAAGATGTTAAAAAAAAATTCTTATTTTTTCTTACAGTAATTTATTAAATACTTACTATGAATTGAAGGCTATCAAACTTCTCATTGAATGATTTTACAAAGCAGAATAAATATTTTTGCATATTAACTAACACAATAATTAATAGCTAGATTTAAAATAAATTGTATTATTTATTAGTAGCTTAAAAATAATAAAATATCTTGGTATCTTTTTGGCATTAGAAAGTTGTGTATATTAAATCAGAAACAATAGATATATTAAGAAGTAATTAATTAAGCTCAGCATGATTATTATACTAGTAACATTAGGAAACCTTTGTCTGGAAAGTAGCTTCTGATGAATAAAGACGAGACATAAGTCCATCTTTTTGCTTCATACACTTCTGAAAGAAAGAAAATTATATGTAATTATATATTTTAAAATCAATCATTTTAAACTTTGTAGTTTCAAATGTAAAATATTTTGAATGACAATATATTAAAAGATGAACAGAAGTTATTTTGTGATATTAATGTAAACATCTTATTTTTTAATAAAATCATTTCAGTGATAGTATATACTATATATATAGTGTATATACTATGTATATAGTGTATATACTATGTATATACACACATAGTATATAGTGTATATATATATATATATGTGTGTGTATAATATGTGTATATATATATACACACATATATATAGACGTTCTTTGGATCATTTTTGGTGTTGGCGATAATTTTCAAAATCGCGCCGAGGCTGCACCGTATACTAGGATTTTACCGGAAAACCTAGCAGATCACCTTCTCGAATATTTATTTCCGCGTGAAATAAGTCACAACAATAAGGATCCATTCATAGAAATTCTGGCTGCCATCAAGGATTGCTTTCCAGTGACATAAAATCTCTGGCAATTTCCTTAACAACACAGTTTTTTGGAAAAAAAAAAAAAAAAAAGGCCCCTTTTCAGGGCTATACAAATTTAACAAAAGATATATGACATATTGCTATATATACTTTAATTTATATGCTTTATAATGTTTAACTCATTAATATTATGTCTATTCCTGCTAAGTCTAATTTTTATCCTTTAAATATCATGTTTCACTGTTTGATATTATTTTTTGCAAGCTAATTCTAATTCATATGTGTATTCCTGCTAAGTCTAATTTTTATCCTTTAAATATCATGTTTCACTGTTTGATATTATTTTTTGCAAGCTAATTCTAATTTATATGTGTTTAATATGTTCCTTCATAATTCTTATGCTTTAAATATCATATTTAACCTTTTGATATTTTTTTCTGCGGCTAACACAAATTTAGATGCGTTTAATATGTTTTTTTAATTTATATGCTTTAAACATCACGGATCACCCGTTTAATTATCTTGCAATATGTTTCTTTAATATATATAATAATAATATAACTTAATTTCTATGCTTTAAATATCATGTTTAAACTTTTGATAATTTTTTTCTGCGGCTAACTCAAATTTAGATGCGTTTTATATGTTTCTTTAATCTGAAGAATGTGACAATGTTCTTCATGAATGTGTTACGGTTAACCTTTTTAAATATCTTGTAACGTAACCGCTAAACTCATGGCCGATTAGCCGTTGTTGAGTAAATACACTTCGCCGCCAACGGATCCTCTCCGGAAGAAAACCCGAGAACAATCCTTTTCTATCAATAAACGCTTTAATAATATTTTAACAATACTTATTATTATTACTTTACTTTTAAGATTATTACCCAAAATATTTTTGAAATTATTGAGCTGCCAAAATGCTATTCAGCTATTAGCAAAAAAACTATGGCTATTTAAGAGAGAAAAATAATGGCATTTCCTCCTTCCTTAGTTCCCAAAATTGAACAATTTAATACCTAAATTAGTAACTTGCAACTTATTAACATAAAATGGGCTTTGCAATTAAGAGCTTAAATTGGCATATAAGATTTACTTTAATAAGGAAGTGCTAAAAAAACATACAATGAATCAGCTTTTCTTATAGTATTCGTATTTTTTTAAAGTCCTTCTGCAAATCCTTCTTTTTTCAAATGTAGCATCATTCGAATTGTAATTATACTACACTAATTTCGATTAAAGTTCTTCTCAAAATGTTGCATTATTAATTGATCAATGATAAAAATTATAAGTCTTAAAGCCTCGAACATAAGACAGATGAAGAATCTCTCCTGTCAATATATGTCAAAGTTATGCTTCTATTGATTAAGAGGTTATATACGGATATGATAATCAAAAATGAAAACAACTAATTTTCAACTTCTTAAAAGATTATTCTTTAATTTAATGAAACAAAGATAAGATGCTACATATTGACAAATTACTACTTTTATAGTAATAACTAAATTTCGTTATTGAACGAGAAGAAAAAAAAAATTTACCCTTAGATTACGAAATATGGTAAAACTATACTTCGTCGGTAAGGTCATTTTCAAAACTCGGATTCACCTTCTGTTTTCTGTTTTTTCTGCTAATCTTCAGGTCTGTAATCACTTCACTTCATCTTGATTGCTTTTTGGCAGCTCAATAATTTCAGAAATATTTTGGGTAATAATTTTAAAAGTAAAATAATAATAATATGTATTGTTAAAATATTATTAAAACATTCATTGATAGAAAAAGATAATTCTTAAGTGACTGAAATGATTTTATTAAAAAATAAGAGATAGCCTTAAATGTAACTTCTGAACTAGAAAACAAAAATATTAGGTACTAAGATAAATTCAAAAAAAAATTTTAGAAAGAGAAGTGTATATTAAATAAAACTTGACTCTCTTCCCATGGATGTTGCCAATTGTTTTTCTGTAATGAAATAATATTGCAAAAACATGCCGCAAGCTTAATATCACGTGATAAAAATACAAAGTTTCTATTGGTTAGTGACATGTTTCCGTCTAAAGGCATAGCGAGTGTTAAAAAGAATGGCTGCCTTGTGAAATACGCTCAAGGTTTTAATGACAGTTCTTTGTTGAATCACGGAATTTCATAAAAATTTTCCAAGCTGTAGTTTCCTAATATGTCAACGTCATCAGCTCGATTGACGAGACAGAATGTTAGGAAAACGAGAAAAAAGAACTTAAAACGGACTGTTTTCTCACGTTCTAGTAATCTAGGTATGTTATGGTTATATGCCAAGAAAAAATAGCATTCTAATTGTGTGCATTAATAATAACAGGCTAACGTATTGATTGCATTGTCTTTATATTTGTCAGTTTTATGTGTATCGATCTTTAATATAATTTTTTCATGTTACTTTTGAAGAATGCGAAGGCTTATTGACATGGATACTTAAATTACAGCCTCATAGGCGGGGAGTCCCAATGACCTAATGTTTACATTATGATCACTTTAGTGTTTTGCATTTGTAACGAGTCGCAGTGTGAAATCGTTTTCAAAAATTAGTTGCCTTATAAGCTTTTTCTTAATTGCTTGTCAGCTATTTTATAATTTAATAAAAATTTAGTTACGCAATTTTTCAGAGTACTGTCCCATTTGTAATACATTTGAAAATATGATCATTTTACTTATTTAATCTCTTTTATTCATTATTTAAAGCCTCCGTTATTGCATTTCGATGCTTTTTAATTCTGTTTTTTGATTCTGTTGTGACGCATTTTATAGTACGAACTTGCTACAGAAACAATAATCGTTTACCAATAAGCATATAAAAGAATTTTATATTTGAATAAATGATAACTGAAGTGTAGAAAATTGTGAATTGAACAAGAAATACTTCTGTAAATCTCTCTGTTTGATTGTGTTCAGTTTGCATAACAAATAGAAAATAATTAGATACCACTTAATGTATCATTTTTTGTCAGTAGTTTCTCTTATGAAATATTGCAATTACTATTATGGTAATTATTATTTGGTTTTCAAAGCACATTAAGATAATATTTATAATGTTCATTAAGCAAAAATAATTTGTATTATTATTAATATGTCATTTCAGCATAGAAACTAAAATTGATTAGGTTTTATGAGTAAAGAATGAACATCTTTACACAATGAAGCCAAGCTTAATTAATATACTAAGAAAATGTGCAGTTTTTTCCTGTGTAGGGAGAGAGGATGATTTTCAGATTGAAGTATTGAATGTACTGCATTTCTGCATGGCATCTAGATACGGTTTGTATAAGCTAGAATTAAAAAAAAAAGAGGGGGTATTTTAGTTGTATGTTGTGGAAGCTTACTTTTTATATTAATGTTGTATTTAACTGTGGTGAAGTTAGGCTGTTTACTGAAAATACTAGTTGCTTTCTAATTTACTTGAGATAGTTTTATCAATAGTAAAAAAAACTGTAGTTGTACTTCCATTATTGTAATGCAGAATGTCATGCTAGTAAAGTGTGAAGCAATTGTATTTTTCATATCTAGTTGGTATATATGCAGTACAAAGTCCGAAATCCAGACGTCCATTATCCGGAATGATCTAAAATCCGGACCTCAAAGACACAAACACCTTTTTTTTTGTATGCTTAACACATGCGCATTTGATTTTTTCCTCCCATAATAAAACATGTGGAGATATTCACTTAAAAATTCCGATTCTTAATTTCACTTAGGCACTAAATAAAATACATCGTTGTGAAAAAACAATCATGTAAGCATAAACTTTATGAGATTAATAATTTGGCTCTCTGTAGCTGAGTATCTGCTTGGCATTACATGTCAAACCGAAACATTCACCTATTTTATGTCCCTGACATCCGACCTGTCGAATCAATTATTTATTATACTTTGCTTTCATCAACGTATGTTTATGAATACATTTCAGTTTCAGTAATAACTCATTCAGTGATGTCTAAACTTTTTTTTTTATATTAGTAATTGAATAACAAGAGTGTGGCAACCTTTTATGTTAACATTACGCTTGGCGATGATTATAGATTTTTAAATGTTCTAAGTAATGTGGACAAGGGAAAATTCAACAAAAATTTCTTTTCATATGCTAAAAATAGATTTTGTTAATGAAACTAATAGGCCAAAAGATTACATTTAGTGCTATTTTAATTAAGAATAACTGATATATTATTCACCATAAACCCAGAAGTGGCGCAGAATATGTAGGCACCGGATGGCAGAATATAGGAAGACAAAATTTTTGAAAATTCATTTGAAGCACCGGAGAAGCAAAATTATGGATGAGAAGTTTTTATTGATGCAACTTTTTTGTGATCGGAAAACATCCATGACCTCGAGCATTTAAAGGAGTAATGATTTCCCCCGTTATGTATTGTGCAAATAAAAGAGCATGGATGATACAAGCGACAGTGATTGGTTTGAAAATCATTTTATACCCGAGGATCGGCAACATTTGAATTCAGTTGTTTTACTTGATGACTCAAGAATAGTCCTGATTATAGACAACTGTTCGGTTCATACTTCACTTAAAGTTTTAGTGAAAGATAATGTATCCGTATTATTCTTCCCTCCAGACTGTACGTCTGTCATTTAGCCTATGGATATCGGAATAGTGCACGCTCTGAAATGCAAATCTAAAGTAGCAGTTTTAAAATCCATGTTAAATTTCTTGAACAATGGCAAGACTATTCAAGAATTTAAATAATATTTTAGCATAAAATCTGCTGTGTGGAGCATCGCAAGATCGTGGAAGGATGTGTCTCCAGATAAGTTAAAAAATGCTTGGCATAATTTATGGGCAGCTACCATATTTCATGGTGAGGATGATGAAGAGGATAGCCACGAATTTGAAGGTTTTTGGATATTGCAAACTGAAGGTGAAATTTTTCAGTTAATCTTTGGATTATGGTAACTTGGCGAAAATTTGGCGACCAATCCTGCTACAGCAACCTGCTAGTTTTTGTTTGGACGCCATTTTGTTTTCACGACGTAAAGGCATGTTTTTTTTTTTACTCAAAATTTTTTTCCAACAATCTGCTAGCCGAATTACGCTTATGCTAGAACTTTTATGGAACAAAAGTGCTTAATCATGACGAAGATTAGGTGCGAAATTGGGACAAAGTGCAGAATTGCCCACTGCTTGGCGCGTTTTTAAATTGCACATAACTCGGTATCATCCATGTACACAATGACTTATTTTCACTTAAAAAAAAACATTCCAGAATTGCACAACAAATGGCATTGCGCACTTTCTTGACTTTATCCATGTACAAAAAAAAAAAAAAAAAAAAAAAAAAAAAACAAAAAAAAAAAAAAAAAAAAAAAAAAAAAAAAAAAAAAAAAAAAAAAAAAACTGCTAAAGTCCTAGCTAGTAACCTTTATCGCCTTGCCATTTCAGTTTCAGTAATACTCATTCAGATGTCTAACTTTTTTTTTTATATTAGTATTGAATAACAAGAGTGTGGCAACCTTTTATGTTAACATTACGCTTGGCGATGATTATAGATTTTTAAATGTTCTAAGTAATGTGGACAAGGGAAAATTCAACAAAAATTTCTTTTCATATGCTAAAAATAGATTTTGTTAATGAAACTAATAGGCCAAAAGATTACATTTAGTGCTATTTTAATTAAGAATAACTGATATATTATTCACCATAAACCCAGAAGTGGCGGCAGAATATGTAGGCACCGGATGGCAGAATATAGGGAAGACAAAATTTTTGAAAATTCATTGAAGCACCGAGAAGCAAAATTATGGGATGAGAAGTTTTTATTGATGCAAACTTTTTGTGATCGGAAAACATCCATGACCTCGAGCATTTAAAGGAGTAATGATTTCCCCCGTTATGTATTGTGCAAATAAAAGAGCATGGATGATACAAGCGACAGTGATTGGTTTGAAAATCATTTTATACCCGAGGATCGGCAACATTTGAATTCAGTTGTTTTACTTGATGACTCAAGAATAGTCCTGATTATAGACAACTGTTCGTTCATACTTCACTTAAAGTTTTAGTGAAGATAATGTATCCGTATTTATTCTTCCCTCCAGACTGTACGTCTGTCATTAGCCTATGGATATCGGAATAGTGCACGCTCTGAATCAAATCTAAAGTAGCATTTTTAAAATCCATGTTAAATTTCTTGAACAATGGCAAGACTATCAGATTAAATATATTTTAGCATAAAATCTGCTGTGTGGAGCATCGCAAATCGTGGAAGGATGGTCTCCAGATAAGTTTAAAAAATGCTTGGCATAATTATGGCAGCTACCATATTTCATGGTGAGGATGATGAAGAGGATAGCCACGAATTGAAGGTTTTTGGATATTGCAAACTGAGGTGAATTTTCAGTTAATCTTTGGATTCTGGTAACTTGGCGAAAATTTGGCGACCAATCCTGCTACAGCAACCTGCTAGTTTTTGTTTGGACGCCATTTTGTTTTTCACGACGTAAAGGCATGTTTTTTTTTTTACTCAAAATTTTTTCCAACAATCTGCTAGCCAATTACGCTTATGCTAGAACTTTTATGAACAAAGTGCTTAAATCATGACGAAGATTAGTGCGAAATTGGGACAAAGTGCAGAATTGCCCACTGCTTGGCGCGTTTTTAAGAATGCACTACACGGTTCATCCATGTGCACGTCGACTATTTTCACTTAAAAAAACATCCCAGAATTGCACAAAAATGGCATTGCGCACACTCTTGACTTTATCCATGTACACTGCTAAAGTCCTAGCTAGTAACCTTTATCGCCTTGCCAAACTACCTGTTACCATATTCTAAAGATTAGCCAAATTTTCATTTAATGGATTTTGTAAAGAAATTTACAGAAGCAGTAATAAATGAAGATGATATAACAGAAATCTGTAGTATGTTCTAGATCCAGAAAATACCGCTACCGATAGTGAAGAAAGTAACAGAGAGGTTATTGAAAACGAAAAAATTTCGATTGACAAGTCAGTCGGTATTCTCGACACAGCAGTTACAAGACTTGAACAGTAGAATTTTGTAACAGAACAAGAAATTATGTCTGTTTATAGAATTAAATAGGGAAGCACTTCTGCAGAGGATCCGTTAAATGTAAACATCGCCAAAATTGGCAATAACAGTTCAAAGTTGGTAACCCGGCGAATTCGGTGGTCGTAGGTAGCAACCTGATTCTTCAAATGCTTAGACAACGAATCTGTTCTCGTATGTTCTGTGCGTGCTCCGTTTTGCCGCTGGCTGGTAGTGCATCACTAC